GTGGTGGTGGTAGTAGTCGTAGTAGTCGTAGTAGTCGTAGTAGTCGTAGTAGTAGTAGTAGTAGTAGCAGCAGTAGTAGTCGCAGTCGTAGTCGTAGTCGTACTCGTAGTAGTAGTAGTCGTCGTCGTCGTAGTAGTAGTAGTAAGAGTAGTCGTAGTAGTAAGAGTAGTCGTAGTCGTAGTAGTAGTAGTAGTAGTAGTAGTAGTAGTAGTAATAGTAGTAGTAGTCGTGGTGGCGGTGGTGGGGGTGGTGGTGGTGGTGGTGGTAGTAGTAGTAGTAGTAGTCGTGGTGGTGGTGGTGGTGGGGGTGGTGGTGGTACTAGTAGTAGTAGTCGTCGTCGTCGTCGCCGTCGTCGTAGTAGTAGGAGTATGTGTTGTTGTTGTGGTTGTTGTTGTTGTAGACGCAGTAGTTATAGTAGTAGGTACAGTGCTTGCTGTTGTAGATGTAGTTGTAGTGGAAAAGGCACGGGGACGAGCATTTTCATTCACTGTGGCAACAAAGCCGCAACAGCAATAGGAAGTAGGACAACAAGAAACAGCAACAGGATAATAATAAGAAGATATAAGAAGAATAAGCATACAAGAAGAAGAATAAGAAGTGGAGCAGCAGCAGTAGCAGCGGCAGCGGCAGTAGTAGTTGCCATCGTAGTGTTGACGTTCATCGGCTACACAACTGACGTCATGCTTCTAAATGAAGCGGAAAACGCGTTATCATGGATATCCCGTGCGACAATGACAACACATTACCAAGTAGACGCCCACTCGGCTGATGCCTGTAAAAGCCACACTTCTTTGCACAGATCGTCAGGCCCGCGCAACCCCATGCTATTTGACACCGTTGCTGCGGCCTCGACGCCGCACAGCTGAGTGCTTTCGAAAGCGTGGAGAACCCTGGTCAAATTTAAAAAATGGGCTTTGGCTGCCGCTTTAATGAGGGGCCGATCGCTTGGAAAATGTAACTCAACAAAGCCGCGCAAAATACAGATAAGACCCACGCCAAACAAAGACAAAGCATCATGAGCACAGGCCAGCTGCAATCTGACCAAAGCTTTCTCTCGTCATAGGGCCTCAATAGGGTTTGGCCTACGCAAAAAGATCTCGACTCCTTGCTAGAGTATGATTTCGACCCCCCCTTGGCTGCAAAGGCACCCCGCGCCCTGCTGCGAGATGAAGAGGTGTGGCCAACTCGTTCCCAGTAGCCTCCTCGTCGAGACTTGGAGGTTGCCACAAAGGGTGTCAAGGTACCGAATTGTCATATACTCTCCAAAAGACGAACCCTACTACTATAACTACTATCCTAAATGCACCGAGTACCTAATACTTGGGTCCCTTGGACCATCGGACCCTTAGGGTTACGGTTGACGGACTGGGGTTTTAAGCTCTCACGCACCACGAACCATGCAAGTTAACACGTCCAGAGCTAGAGATCTAAGGCTTATAGGTATATGAAGCTGTCGGGTATTTTGAGATTTCTGGAGCCTCGAAGCTCAGGTTATGTGAGGACCTCCAACTCTAGAGATGCAAGATTCGGGCTTCGATCGTGCTTCGCTGATCTGTGACACAAGGCTAGTCGTTTCCGAACTGAACAACCCTAAACCCTAAACTCCTAAACCCCTAAGCCCTAAACCCAAATCATCGGAACTAAGATTCAGTATCCCGGGCCTGCGGTCTTACAACGTAGAGGAAAGAGCAGGGCTACTCTACAGCTGCTGGGGCAACACGGCAGCCGAGTCCAAACCGAGAAGGTGAGCTGGCGATGGCCACACGAAGCCCAGAATGCGCCGAAGCAAGAACATGTTAAAACTATTCACAAACATACAGGTGTGGACAGCATACTACATCGAATATTTAAAGCTTGCGCATGTCAAGAAGCAGCCGAAGATGCAATCCGAATATGGCGCTCAACATGCTTGTTCTCATGATCGTATTGGAGGAATTTCGAGTGATTGCTGGTGCTACCGGTTGTAATGTTGTTGCTACTGCTCGTCCCCCGAAAATTTTATAATACATGCGTCCTTCTTCGACCACAAGAAAGTTCGGGAACTTGGGCGAAAATTCAAAAGAAGTACCCACCACGTCCTAGCACACCAAACTGCAGCAAATGCTGGATTTAAGACCTTTTGACTAAGAATGCTCAGGCTGTTTGAGTGGAAGAAATATAGTCACCAGACATCACGACAATGCTGCCGCATCACACTGGCAGGTAAGCCCTCCGCAAGGAACCTGAGTACAGGCTCTGCCGGCACACCATCAGCCCCTATGAGGTCCCATTGTGTTGGGGGCTCGGGCTGCGGTGCATGTAAGGTTGCTTTACAGTTGAGGGCTGGGGTGCTTAGGGTTTTAGAACGTTTTGGTTACCGTGTTTATTCCTCTGATTCGCGTAGGTGTTGCTTCCTACAGCTCTCAGAGAGCATATAGACATCGAGTCTAGAATGCAGGGCACCGGCGGATGAGGAACCTAGGAAGCAGTACAGCACACTTCCCTCTGAAGCCACTCCAAGACATTCTGGACAGAGACCTCACGTGAAGCATGGAAACAACAACATCACAGGTGCATAAGACACTTGACTATCTTCTGTTTTTGGCCTTACAAGTGGCTAGGCCTGATCCCATTACAGTATTCTGAGCCACCGACCTGACTCAGGATTCTAGAACCAAGCAAAGCCTCAAACCCGAAACACTAACCATTCCCTGCGCCACAGCAGCCGAGCACATAGTCGCGAGAGACCGCAGGCAGAAGCTGCATGGAGGAGGGACAGCACCTGGCAAAGATCGGAATTGAAAAGCCCAAAGGGTCCTAGGATGTCCTAGGTACTGTTATGGGGGATACTTTCCCCAAATCATAATAACAATTGCTAATATAGAAACCCTACACTCTACTATATAGGTACTTTGGACTCTTTGGGAAGGACAGGATAGGGACTACTGGGCCTTGTGGGGCAGCGTGGTGGAATGCTGCATAACCCCGGAAACTACAATTGGGAATAACATCACCCAGAACCATATTCAAAGCCCTATATTTTGTGGTGACGTCTGTCCCTGGTCCCTCGTGACAGTACCTGCAGCTGCCTGCTTTCATTTCGTTCAGCATTTAATCTGGATCTTGTTGCTACAGTGTAGACTTCGTTTCTCTTTATGATCAAGCCACAGTGTTCTGGAATCCCGGTCACCTATGTAAGGGGTTCACCATATGATGTAAAATAAGGGGAAAAGCCTGCTGTAGGTTCTTAGGGTGCTCATACACCACACATGTCGGGCGTTGATTGTTATCGGGCACTTGCCCCCAAACACCAAAAAGCCGGCTCTACATTACCATCTGATGTGACTTTCTCATCCAGTGCGGACACATGGCGAAAACGCTCGCTGTCTGTTGCTGAGCTAGGGCCAAGGGTTTCGGGGTTCAGGGCATAGCGACATTATAGCCATCGCTGCTATTTCCCATCAGTTTGTGGGTTTTCGAGTCTGGCACCATAAAGGCAGAAACGGGATTTCAGGCAGAAGGGGGGTCAAGAGGGCTTGGCTCTAAGAATCCCTAAACCCCAAACCCTAAACCCTAAACCCCTAAACCCTAAACCCTAAATAGGGTTCCAGGTGGGGGCTGATATGAGCTTTGGTTTTAGGACCATCGTCACGGTGTTGTTTAACGCTCATGACTCATTCTACGGATGCTGCAGGTGCCCGTCATGTACACAAACCTCTGACAAAAATACTGCCAACATGCCCAGGTTCACAACTGCCGCAGCTTCTGCAGCTGACTTGTATGCTAGAAGCTTATTCCCCCCAGAACCTTCAACAACCTACATCAGGGCTCAATTTGGACTCCCACTCGCCGGCTGCACCAAGATTTTCGATTAGTGCCTAGAATCCCAACTACCTTCTTCTCCACGGGGGTGCTATCATTACTCTGCGTGTATATACCCGGATTGTGACGATTATGTACCCTAAACCCTAAACCCTAAATCTTAAACCCTAAACCCTAAAGCGAATGAGCTGAAACGGCGGCCAGCCTCTGCTGATCCCTTCATTCGCTCATCGGACGTGGCCATGTGCACCTGGATGAGGTTGAAGGGACTAACACAAAGCACCTGATTCGATTTGATGTTTTGGGCATGCCTAAAAGATCAAATCAAATCAGGCACTGTGGCTAGTATATGCATAGTACTACTATTGTAATATGACCTGAGTCATGGCCCATGGCATCAACTGCCACAGTCTGTTCGAAACGAAGCCGCCGTTGCTTCACTGCGACACTACGGCGACTGCGGCGTGCTACAGTACCACCGGGCAGAATTGGCAGATGTACGGGTCGGCTCAAATTGTCTGACCCCTGCAAGTACTGAATGCACGCAAATACGACGATACAAAGCCTGAACTCGGCAACATCTGTCCCGAAACCCACAACGCAAGCTGTGAAAAGCCCTGGACAAGAATCGGCCCAGCAGCATAGAGAAGGCTGTTAGGTGTGCCCGGCAAGATTGGTCCACTCCTGGCGAGCATGGAGCAAAGTCGTTGATGCAATTTCGGGGCTTTTGCTGCGAAGATGCTGGCTGCGCTTCTGAAACTCCAAGTACAAACAGTACGCCAACAGCTGCACGAATCACTTGCGATGAGAGCACTGACTATGTCCTTAGGGGCATAAGTACTTCGCGCCGAGGCTCTCAGCTAGCAGCCGCAAGCACCGATCTTCTGAATTCCGATGCTGGAAAAGGATATACTGCCGGAGCTGGTGGTACCTCAGGCAAGCAGGCTCCCGTTCTTGTGTAGCTGGGCGGCTTGATCTTGAGAGGCAGTAGGGGACGCACGCACACACACCCCAGCACACTCGTGCAATCCTCCCTCTGGATTGATTTAGCACACACACACACAAACACACACGCGCGCGATGCTGTCACCCTAAGCCCGAAACTTCTACAAAAGCCCCAAGAAGCCCAGGAAGAATGCTCACACTATCCTTCAAACCTCTTCAAGAAAATGAACACAGAGGAATTCCCTCATGCTTTGGAATCCCAGGCTCCTACACTAAACCCTAAACCCTTTTTGCTGCAGGCTTGCAAGCAAGAACGCCTGGTAGTTAGCCACTCGTCCGCCGACTAACACTGTACTCGTGACAGCGCTTCCAGCTTCCGAGCATGCGACTGAGGAACTTGACTGAAAAGGCAC